AATCCTATATTCCCAGACAAAAGTCATGTAGTTATATTGACCCTTGCCTAAATTTGTACATAAACCTTCCGGTTTTTAAGGTTATTTGATTGATGCTTAGCATTTTAAGCATGTTTTCTACCAACTTATGAAAGATATGTTTTCTCACTGTGTGATTATCAGAGTATTTTGCATGAGTTACATCTAGCGATGTAATGTCGCTCTGTGACTTTTCATGAACACTGTTTTCTGTGTATTATTTTCACAAACTGCGTGAAATAAATACGTAATGTAAGTTTATTTATACCTATCCATCTGGCTCCAGAATTACTGAATGCATTTTGATTAAATTTGGTATTGGAGGTTTGAACTAAAAACTGTCACTGTGACCATTTATTATGTTCCTAACCGTCTACAGTCACTGGTTTATATTTCTTTTATGTTTGTGTTTGTGCATGAATTTGTGCTATCTTCAGGTATTTCACACACTCTTCACTAATTACATGACAGGTTCTTACATATGGTGTCTTTTTTTTGCATAAGGGCTTATTTCATATTTCCTCTTCTGTGTACTATGTGTAAGTTGTAATTAAATTTTATAAATTCTCTCATACATCTTTCATGAAAAAGTGGTTCATGACATAAAATATAGATGTAACTGATATCTGCAGTTTTTATTTGGAAAAAGTTCTGATGTAGCAAGTATTAGTAAATTCAAGGAAAAATAGTGTATAATGCTCTACATTGTGATATCTGTAGGAAAATTAGCCTTGGAGCTGTACACTTTTAATTTAAATAAATAACATGAAGGCCAATAAGGTATGCAGAATAGCAAAGTTTCCTTTGGAAAACTGTACGCTGGTGAACTATATGTTTTCATTTTTGCTGTGAAGTTTGGGTGACCTATTTGATAGTTCTGTACCATCTGGGTAGAAGATTATTTGCTAAATCATTAATTTTGCAAAGTGCAAAGTTCTAGGAAGGTGAAGGGACTATGTGGACACTTCAAACAGAATAAAATACAAGGATCAGGTGTTAAAAATTTATGAACGTGTCTGATACAAGCACTTGGTTCCCTTACAGAGACAGAGCCTACACTGAGCAGTTGATGGCTCAGAAGTTTGATAAATAACCTGTTGTTACTCATCACAAAAGTTAGAACCATACCCTAACAGCCAGTTGAATTCAGTTCACACTTAATTCTTCTAGGTTAGTTTCAGTATTAACTCCCCATCTGAACCTCATTCTCCCAGTATTTTTATAGGGGTTTTCAATCAAATTCTATATGCAGTTTTTATTTGTTTCTTTTCTCAGCATATTGATGCAATCAGCTTGATAATAATGAGTAAAAATAATAAATAATGAAGATCTTTATTATATAATTTTCTCTCTTTCTTGTTACTTTACATCTGTTGGGTTCAAAACATTCTTTTTAGCACATAGTTCTCAGAGACTTTCAATTTCTGCTCTTACTTCACAGTGACATATTATTTTTTATCCAAATAAAACAACAGGCATGATTTTAGTTTTATGTTTTAATCTTTACATTTCTGAAGAGAATTGTACTGTGATAATAATTAACATATACTTTTACCATGCAGAAAATTATGACTGTATCACTTGCCTTAACATTCATTAACTCTGAATTTTGTCTGTAGAGTGTAATTATGGGTTTTGTAAGAGTCTCAGAATAAACACCATTTGTTTCCTTAAATGGTATATTCTGTGCAATCTTTGTAATGGAGCTATACTGTGTTGTCTCTGATGTAGGAATTAAATTTCAAAATATTATTTAGACGAACTTTATGTTTTAAAAGGTTACATATCAAAATAAATGTGTGTGATTGTGATTCTGAATCAGAATGTTTAAATGATGAAAACATTGCACTGAACATTTAAACAAATAGATGTTCCCCTGAGGATGACATCATATTGACTTTAGGTCTTTCCTCAGGGCCTTTATCTCATCTGTCAATATATTCAAACGCTGGTTTGTTGCAATATCACGCTGCTGAAGTTCGTCATTTAGTGCAGCAATGTGGATGAGCAGTTGATCTGTTGTTGGTTCATGTTGCTGATGCTTGGAAATAGGACATGTGGTCCCGTATGATTCAGTCTCACTTTTTGCTGAGTACCTTGAATGGGGGTACACTATTTTTATGTAGTCAGTGTCTGAACACCTCATTGCAGTGTCTGATGATGTGGAGCTATATCTAAATTTGTGTCTTGATTTCTCTTTCCTGTTGGCCACTAAATGGTATGCATTTTTAACTAGCTCACGTGGAATACGTCTTTCACGTGGGTCATTGGGACGAATGTATAGTGATCGGTGATATGGTGAAATTGTTAGCAAGGCACTGCGATGGCAGAGTGTTAACAGTTTATTTGGTAGACAACGAAGTAAACGGGAGAATAGCATACTCTCAAGATGTGCCACGAGTTCAGCCTGACGGACAAGACGATCAAGGCCTGCAGATTGTTGCAGCCCTTGGATGTCATTTACTGCTAGGCCTACCATTAGATTGGTCAGGATTACTGTCACAAGAAGGACAAATGCAAGGAATATAAGATGGGCTGTAATTGGATACAATACAGGGCTCTCTGTTGCATAGAAAATGTCTTCAAACTCCAGTTCCCCTGACATCATAACAACTGTTTTCATGAGTCCCCAGGCTACGTTTCTAAAAGATTTGTAATTGGGGAAGAGTACACCAAAACTAAGGCTAAAAGCCACAAGGAGGCAACTGTAGGCTAACAGAAACTTTGCAAAGTTTAAAGCAACTGTAGTGAACATCTGTACATAGAGTCCAAATATAGGGAAACGTCCTACAATCATCATAAGCTCTATCCATGTGAGGAAGATGCCGATTGCAGCTACATGATGCTGCCAAGTGAGAACATCTTGGCTTACATCATCAGCACTATGATGATGCAGCACACATGGGAAAACACTGATTATGATGAGCCACTGGAGCCAGTTCTCCCAGTGGGTCACATAGCCTGCCCAGCTGTGAGCCATTTGAAACAGTTCTTTTGCTATCAGTAACGTGTCAAAAGCTAGCAGTACATAGCCTGTCACTTTCACCACCATGAGAATACCACATATGTTCTCACTATCCTGAGTTTCATTTGACTCTGCCATCGGACAGTTTCTCAGAAATACGCCCACCATATAGCCTGAATAGAGCAGCACAAAGATTGTATGAAACAAAAGGCTTAAAAGGAAAAATTTTCTAATTCGTTTCCACTTCAAGAAGAGGAATATTTCACACAATGGATGTTTCAAGATGTGTCGTTGGCCAACTTCTATGAATGTTAGTAGCAGTCCACTCTCCCCACGCTCAACACTCGGCACCAGGATGTGGAAATCTAGCTTTAGTTCACAATCGACATCTCCAATTTCATGATCATGGAGTTTGATAGAAGCATCCAGTTGAGACAATATCCTTGGCAGGATATCTGGAGTGCGGCGGACAATGAAAGACAATGCTGACACTCCTCCATTTGTCCTTGCTGTCACATCCCCACCATAGGTCAGTAGCAGATAAACACAGCTTGATATTTCATTGAGTGCTGCAATGTGCAGGGGTGTATATCCAAATGCATCAGGTTTGTTAACACTGGCTCCAGCATCAAGGAGTAAACGCACACATTCACATGAGCGATATATCTTCACAATGGCACTGTGCAGTGGTGTTCGACCATCAGTATCTTCAGCATTAGGGTTAGCTCCACGTTGTAACAGCAGCTCAAGTGTCTCACCAGACTGGGATATTGCTGCGATGTGGAGAGGTGTCTGATGACGATGGTTTTGTGCATTGATTTCTGCACCAGCATCTAACAACAGTTTTGAACACTCTGCATTTTCATCTTCAGCTGCAAGATGTAACGCTGTTGTTTTCCAGGGTCCAAATTGGACCTGTACAGTTGCACCGTGCTCTAACAGCAAACGAACACATACTGCAGAGCCCATGGCTGCTGCCACATGGAGAGGTGTTTCTGTGTATACCTGAGGTGTGTTGGGATTGGCACCAGTTTTCAGCAGTTCCCTAACACAGTCAATGGCAGAGCTTTGTACTGCATAATGCAGTGCACTTCTTCCTGCTAGCCCTGCATTTATATCTGCTCCAGCTTTCAAGAGAAGACGAAGGCTTGTTATGTTACCTACACTAGCAGCACAGTGCAGTGGTGTAGCTCGATGGTGAGCGTCCCACACTTGTACTGGTGCTCCATGTTCCAGAAGAATGTTTACACAGTCTGCATCTGTGGCACACGAAGCTAGATGTAATGAAGTCCTAGAACAATTTGAAATTTAATTGATAATGTTAGGTATACAGTTAAGTATTACAGTATAATGATTAACAATCTTGCTTTGTATTCAAGAGGTATATGGTTGCATTCTTGACAAACATATTCTGGACTGAGATGCTCTCCAGTCATACAGTGAAAAGCAGCTATGTAGGTTAAGGCAGTTTGGGAGATTGCACTGAATTTAAACAGTTGGAAGAAAGGATGGACAAGTTAATTAAAATTTTAGGAGTTGACCAAAACTTATAGGGACAGTGCTAAATTGGTCATCTGATGATCTGAAAAAAATTATATTTACGTAAGAACTACAAGACTTTTTTGAAGAGCATTGAAATAGCTGTTAGCAAATGCTCTTTTTTGATAGTTACAGTAGTGACCCCTCAGTTTTATTGTCCTAAAGTAGTTTCTTTACAAAATAAGTGACTCCATGGAGCATAGTCTTTCTTTAGAATTTGTTAGTGAATCAGGCAGTAAAAAAATTCTTTGCCTTTTATGAATCCGAGGATTATTAGCATGTTAACAAGAACTCTCTCCTAGACTACGTGGAAATGAGGTGTATCAGGGAAGCAGATAAAAGATTTGTGTTGATTTGTATTGTACTGTACCAGTTGAATCCTGTCTACACCCTCACACCTTATTTCTGTTCTTAGCTCTGTATCTGGAGAACCACCTCTTGTTAACCATCTGTGACTGTTTGATTTCTGTAACCTGAAGAAAGTAATACTGCTGAATTCTGTTACATGAAGTTAGAATTTTAGGTAGCAGCAGGATGCTAAGGCAAGTGAGGTCACAGGAATTGTTCAGCCCTGTTATGTATATGCATAGCACCATTATGAAACCTGTTTGGTACATCTGATGATGGATTATGTTGTTGGTGTGAGAATGAAAACCATATGTACCTTCCTTCAGCATCTGTCACACTGGGTGATGCTCCAAAGTCCAGCAGAGTGGTCAGCATGTGAGCATTGCCTCTCCAGGAGGCCATCAGAAGTCCTGTAGTCTGTCCATTAATATGCTTCACCAAACCAGCCTCCTCTCCTAATTCCAACAGTGTGGAAATCTCTTCGCTTCCAGGCAGGGCCTTCAGCCCATCTTCCACTTCTTGTCTATTCCAGATGTCTTGTGCTTGCCGTGCTCCAACTCTAAGTTCGCTGTCTGAACCAGAACCAGCCGCTTCTTCACTAGAGATGCTGCTTTGTTCCATATCTATCTCTGTGTCCTCATCAACCCACCGCAACCTTGATTCCTGACCAGAAAGTAAAATGGTCCAGTTTAGGTTTCAGAAGACTAGACCTGTTAGGTTTTTAATAGACTATTACAGAGTTAAAATATTTGGTGTGTTAAAATTGTTCTCTACAACTTCTGCTTGAAACATTTTTCATTCCAAAAAAGTTTTGGGGGGAGTTGATACCCAGGATGCTTGCAGAAAAGCATGTAAGTCTTCATGTAAAATGTTACTTATTTCTATCCAATTTAAACCTAAATTACACAAATATTATTAGAACTTTTCAGTGTGAAATTCCATGAAAATCCTTTAAGTCCTTGATGGGATATTGTGAGTGGGCGCCACACTGCGCAATACCCCAGAAGACGGTCTCGCCGCCGCGTGTGCCCGATGATACCTCATTATGCCCCAACAAGTTTAAGTGGAATCCGTTATTGTGGTTGTCACGTACCTTCTGCTTACGCGAAGCTCTGTAATTTAGCCGTCCCATCTCCATCCCATTCTTTGACGAGTTGAAATGGTTTAGAGACTTGGTCGTGACGCATGTGCTTCTACGCGGCCCATCACTCCGCTGATGCATTCTGGGACGGTGATCTGGAAACAGGAAGAACGGCGACCGCTTCCTGTGATAACTAGAATAAATCTATGAACGATAATTCCTCCATCTTCTATGATCACAACCTGTTTTCCAAACATCAGCCAACTTATTGACTTTGAAGCTGCGTGTCTGAGAATCGTGGCTAAACAGACTGTTACAGGCCACGTCGATTGTAAAAAAGCAGACACTTCCATCAAATTCATTTTCAAAATCGTAAAGCAGTTTAACATTTGAACTCCTGTTGTGTGACGTGCGAGGTTTTGTCACAGTTGAACGAAATCTCTAGGAGAAAATTGAAACGATACACTTTTTGGACCCGCGAAACTGCCTGTTCTTATTAGACTGTTAATTCTGACTAATTGGGTTTGTTTCGAGATCTTCAAATAGAATCCATAACCAGCACTAACCGCTTGGAACGGAGTCCTTGATAAGCTCAGCTACTCAAGAATTCCCCGTTGTTTGTGGAGCCCAAAGGTCCATCATCGTGTTCACAGGAGCCCGCCTCTGGCCCCGATTCTTGATCGAGATGAATCTAGTTCACATTCTCCAACCCGGTTTCTTTAGGATCTCTATTAATGTTATCATGCTATTTACGGCTACGTTCATATGTCCCAAAGGTGCATAAATACTGTAGCACATGAATGGACAATTTGAGGTAGTAGTTGTTTTTTTCGTTTTTGTTTGTGTGTGTATGTTTTATACTGACAGAGCCAGTGTAGCGATTCTTAATCGTTTTCGTCAGTAATTAATATACAATCAGAGGTAATCATATTTATATCATTGTTAGGGCGATTAAATCGAAGATAAAATTCTCGGAACACGTATCAGGCCAATTAGAAGTGCATATAAATTTTAGTCGGAAAATATGAACGGAAAACCTGGCCGTAGGATAATTTTAAAATAGATCTTACCGGAATAGGGTGTGAAGCCGTGGACTTGATTGTGTTTACTCAAATACAAGTAAATTATAATATATTTCAGAAAATAGTCGTCGAATGTTTTCAACTACGCTAAGCAATAAAGATATTAGTTCCGTATTTAAACCAGAAAACAGTCCAGTTTCACCCTTCGCAACTTGAAAAGGAGTGCGGTTAGTTTACGTGTTCATACGTAGGAACTTTTTGTCCTGTCAAGTGGCTGTTCGCCTTTCAGGAAAGACCATGCACAGTGGAGATAAAACAATATTTGGTTTCTGCCACCCACATTCATGGCCTGCTTTTAATTGCATACTGCGTGTAGCCGAAGTGCCTTGTTTGAAAGTTCCCAAAATAATAGCACGAGCGCTCTGTTTCAGGAAATGACGCAACTTGTGAACTGTGGAGTGAAGAAAACCAAACAGGCTTCTTCTGGAGAAATTCTTGTAGTGTCGCAGCTCCACTTGAATGCGATTGCATTTTAAAGTCATTTAGGCACTCAGAATTTCCATGAAAATTTTTCTTCGCCATAAACCAAGGAGTGAGTTCGGATAATAACTTTTTGTTAATTCTTATTAAATTTCTCTCTGAATGGCGTTTTAATCTGAGGGCGTTTAAGAACATTAGGATGATACAATAAAGGAGGATGATGGGGACGAGTATGAAGATGGCTGTCTTGTGAGATGTTGCGCTTTCTGTATCCCAATGATGGCGACTGATGACGTCAATTGAAACTATTCATAATTTCCATTCTGAAATTCCGCTTTCAGAGGCTTGTCATTGGACTCAGTCTGTTTAGTCGATTATAACTATCAGTCATGCTAACTTCTGAGGTGGGGGCGACAGTACTGCCGCTTATTAAAGGCTCGTGATATTTTGCTTGGTAATAGATACCGGAAAGGAACGCGACATTTGTTTGAATTTTTTGACGTGAAAGAGCGTATCAGCTGCGAAATTCATATTTAGATGTCGGCTATTTTTGACGACGATAACTACGGAACCACTTGAGGTAGGAATGTGGAAGTTCAAGGGACGAACGTGCAAGTTTGTGCGAAACCTTTTCTTATGCGTTATGTTACACTCCGAGGTCCTGTCTTGCAAATTTAACATAATCGGAATTTTTATTCACGAAAACTGTAAGTTCTTCACAGAATTTTCGGTTGTAGTATGAAATAGACGGTTGGTTGGAACAAGCGTGAAATTTTTCCGTTTTCTCCCACACTGTCTTTAATTTATGGCGTCGCTCCGCGCTTGCACAGACGGGCTAATGTATTTAACGCGTCCTACGGTGTAATCTCCATCTGCCTGTCTGTTGCCAACTAATTAACTCGTGAACCGTGTTTACGAATACATAAAGCTCGAACATGAACGTCCTGGTTTTGGTGAAAACCCCATACCAAATGTCGCGTGATTATATACAATGCAAAAGTTATGTAGAATTAAAATCCATAATATATCATGTACACCCACATTGAACATTCGTAATTAAACGTTATGCACAAAGACTTGACGCAAACATGTAAATTATCAGGAATGTTCCGCCATAGAACGGAAATAAACGTCTGTAGTTAGGTCGCGAGCAAACTAGCAATATTCAACACATACTATTTGGTTGCTAGAAGGAAATTAAGAACGGAAGACGTTTCTAGTTTTAAAGCAGTGATTTATATTCGGGCGCAGTATAATGTATGCTGCATTTTACAATGCTGTCTCTGTACTGGTCTGAGAAACACTGCGATAAAAGGAGGCATCGCTTGCAAATTTCTTGAAGTTGAATAATGCAAGTCTTGTATTCGTGTTTCTGTTTGCAGTTGGTACTCGTATAACCTTCCACTGTGTTTCCGCACATAAAGAACTCGCCCTCGAATTCAATCCTGTGGTATTTGGCGAAATGCTGTATTTAATTAAATATTTACAAGAAGTTACCACTGATACATGCGCCCGAGTAATAATCGCACCGATTCGCGATTCACGACAGCCCGTCAGTCGTCCCCATCTCCAGCCAGATGAATCCTATTTCACTAAGATCCATTTAACACTATTCTTGGATGCCCCAGGTTCGATTTTCGGATCAGAGGCCGGTTTTCCTCACTGAAGATGGCGGTCTTCTGGGTTATTACGACATGTAATCTGGTAGAAATTTACCGACGTTTCAAAGGTACTTGCCTCCATCATGAGGACGATGGTACATTGTCACTCATCGCCCTAATGTTTGAGGCAGCAAGTATTTCTGAAACTTTGGTTATTACTTCAATTAAACTGATGTACTTTAATCTGAATGTTCATAATTTTGTAAGAACATATTTTCTCATGTAACATTTTAAAGGCTAATAGGAACTTATCAGCATGGAAATCACGCTTTGTATTCAATAACGGCCCAGTTTATAATCTCGTGACGGAGGTCAGCTACCCTGATGAAGGGTTTTTCGGGCTTCAAGCAACCCTTTAGGATAGTACTTTAAAGGCCACGATCGCTTACTTCCACATAATTTTTGGGCAATTCTTAATCAACTTATCATTCGACGATTCACACCGTATGCAATTGAAAAGGGTGTTTTAAATAATTCACCTTCAAGAATAAATATATAGTGCCAACTGTATGTTGCGAACTTACGTGGTTGTGAATTATAACTGTTTACTTCTGAGGAAAATTCCGTTCTGGTACGAAAACTTGATGTTTGTCACTGTCATCGCTGGAACTCGTGTTGTGTTTCTGTAATATCAATGCTAATGTTATCCTGTCTCCCCGACTTACCTGTTTCAAGAATCTCACTCGTACCCGAGCTGAAAGCAAACTGCCACAGCTGCTGGAGTGGGTCCGCTATTTATAGGATTGGCTGGGTTTAGCGTTCCAAAATCTGCTCTTATCAAAATGAACACGGTCCAGAACACAAGCCGAGAGTGAATTAAGCGTTCGTTCCAGTCTACTGATGAAATTCTATGCGTAAAGATTGTGCTGGTAATACTGAACTTCAAAGGGCCTACTCTGTTGCTATTGTACCGAAAATGCTAACTCTTTTATAAACGCGAGTTGCTTCATGATTGCTATTAACACTGTAAAGAACCCCTGTTCATGAGAGTGGGGACACTTTTCCTAGGTATTGCCTTTGACTGGGAAGTTTTAGTTTGGAGAGTAGAACTTGGCGTAATTCTTCGAGTCTTGCTAATGACGTATCGATGTAGAATGACACACGTGCAATCTTCATGGAGGCCGAGTCGGTCTGTAACATCATTGTTTAGAGGAACTAAGAACACACGAATCTGCCGTCGCCGGGTCTCGAACAATGGACAGAAAAAGGCGAACACTTGTATGGAAAAATTGCATAACGAGAAGCATCTCGATTTATACTCTTTGCCTGATATTTGCGATTAAATGTTCTCATGGGTCTCTGAAGCTTGAAACTTGTGGTACTATATGTCTGAATTGGCATTGATTCATTACACCTTAGAATTTGGAGGTTAAATGTGTACAGATTGGTAAAAAGATACACACACTGTTCGCGAATGTAATCTTGGGACTTGTAAGGAATGCAGGAAGTCCGAAGCGTTAAAGGCAGACTCTGTCTTTCCTACTTCCTCACCCAGCAAGTTGGAAGATTACAGTCGCAAACAGTATAAGTGTTTTTCATTGGACATATTGCACATAGATTACATGATAATAAAATTTGTTTTCTAGATTGGAGCTGATGGGGCCAATTCCCAGGTTCGTAAGGCAATGGGAATTAAATATTTATCATGGAATTATAACCAGATGGGAGTAGTAGCTACACTGAAATTATCTGAGGTACGTACACATTATAGTTTTGTTATGTCTCTGAACAATGTAATAAAATTGATGTGCCTGTGGGAGGTGTTTAAACTTAAGTAATAAATGTTTGTTTTTCAGCCAACTGAGAATGTGGTAGCTTGGCAACGATTCCTACCTACTGGGCCAGTTGCCCTTTTACCGGTAAGTTGTCATCAGGTTGTGGAATGAATACATAATAAGTACAGTATAAATACAAATTAGATCAGAGTTTGAATGGAGTATTCTTTTCCATTATTTACTCATTCAGGTTTTTTCTTCCTTTCATTCTGTTGATAAACAAGGCTGTTAATCTCTTTCAGAATTGGGACCCTCAAATGAAATATATATAAATAAATGTATTATTCAAGGCCCACCCAGTGTTTCAGCTTAAGGTTATATTCAGGTGGTAATGTGTATGTAAATTGATACTATTAAATTATTACATGAGTATTAAAATTAAACTCATTGGGATGGATCCATTCAAAAAGAAGTTTTACAAATTTTGGTATACAATTATTAGATTTATAAGTGAGTCTGTCAGTGTTATTACAGTTAAAGTTGGTTACAAGTGACAGGCATGGTGAAGAAGGAGTCTACTGTTGTCAGCTCTTAGCAATTTACGTGTATGAAAACAGCTGAAACAAAGTAATGGATAATTCACAAAGTGATGAACAAAAACAGTAAGAAAATTGTATTTCCCTTAATCTTTTGCCTACATGCCAGCATTCTAATATTTTAATGTCACTTTAACTACCACACAGAATATTTTTGGTGGTATGATAACGGACATTACTTGATCTAAAAATTTGTCTGGTGACTTATTGACTAGTAGGAGGAGCAGTAAGGAAGTCCTTTAGAACCTTAAAATATACAATACCAACACTTATTGTTAATCCAAAGTCATAGTAATAAATCTGTTCTCTTGTCAGCTTACAGATGAATTGAGTTCATTGGTCTGGTCAACATCCATTGAGCATGCGAAGGAGCTCCTAAGTTTCTCAAATGAAAGATTTGTGGATTCCCTCAATGATGCGTTAGTAAGTTAAACCTGTCCTCACACAGTGTGATTTAGAATATAGTTTTAGTGGAGGTTGTTTTATTCCAGTTTTCTGCCTAGTTATTTAATCTCAAAGCCCATTTAAAGATATTGATTAAATTTGGTATTAGGTGGCTGTACACCAAAAGTCATCAGTTGAATTTAATTTTGGTTTGTATAGGTCCAAGGTAACCCTGCTTTACACGTAACTCAAACAGCTTACTGCACAAAAAAATTTGTATATAACATAAAATGTAGATGCCATTAAGGTCTCCAACTTTTATTTTTAACATTTTTCAGTGTGATTAATATTGAAAAAAAAATAAAAGTAGTATCTCACTCCACTCATTGTTATCTAATACAACAATATATGTTTATTTTGAATAAAAATTATCTGAAGAGCCAAAGATGTTGGG